CAAACCCTACCCACAGCTGCCACCGTGCTCCGTCATCGACAACCTCGCCGCCGCCGCCCCTCTCCCCTCGCCCTATCTCCATACCGCACGCGAGGGAGGGAGGGAGGCCCCAAATCGAAGCGAGCAGCACCTTCCGGATCCAGATCGAGAGGGGCCCCAAATCGTCACCTTCCTCCACCCCTTGACTCCTCTGTGTCACCCTACCCCTCGGCTCCTGGGACGCCGAGCCGGACGGGAGGAGCCACCGCCCCGCAGCACGCGCGTGCCGGTAGGGCAAGGGGATCGATGGCGAAGTTGTACGTGCAGGCGGTGCCCCCGCTGGATCTGAATAAGAACACCGAGTGGTTCATGTACCTGGGGGTCTGGACCACCCACATCTTCATCCTCTTCATCTCCTGGCTCCTCATCCTCTACATCTTCGGCTGCACCCCCGGCATGGCCTGGACGCTCGTTAACCTCGTCCACTTCGCGGTACCCGCCTCTCCCCCTCCCCTTCCTCCCTCCCTTACACGTCCTCGACTCCCGTGGATCGTGTTTGTTTACCTCAATTCATGTTTGTTTACCTCGATTGCTTGCTTCGTGCAGTCAAAATTTTGCCTGTCAAATGTACTAAGAGGCTTTTGCTTCTCTCATGTTCTTCAGGAAGACATATTGTTCAGGAAGGCATTGATTGATTCGGTGTGTAAATAGAGAGACCGGTTGTATACCAAACAGTTTTTTACTGCAATGGTTGATTAGCAAAATTCTTCGTAGATCTGAATTCTCAACCATGGTACTGTACATGATCTTTGATTATCCTGGTTATTATTTGTCAACATAACAAGTGGGGTACAAAGTAGCTTGGCCAAAAAATAGATCTGCCTAATGCTTCACGTGTTTAAAACTCTTGGCGAGTGCTGTGAACGCAATACTGAATAATCTTGCTGATAAATGTTTGAACAAAACTTGTTATTTGGGAACAACACTGTGGGACGACAATCCTGTCCCAATGCGCCTTGGCGTCAGTGGCTGTTAGAAGGCGTAGTCATAGATGTCCTATGCAACTCCATCTTTGTCGTTGGTGGCTTCGATTACGTTCGCATCTGCCCACCCTTCGCCTCCCATAGCTACAAATTGCTACGACGCAGTTGCCAATCCCGCCAACTAATCGATTACGTTCGCATTAGGCAACATTGTTTGGAATTCCAAGTGGGGTATGACGCAGTTTACTGTTTCATAATAGCCAAATAAATAGCCTGCATTTAATCATTCTTTTGCTACTTTAAATATAATAATGTAGTGGAAAAATTCACGAAATCATTCTGGCTGTAAATACTGCAGTTCTAGTTGGCCCAACCTCAATTCTGGTAGTACAAATTATTGCTATTTTCTCATAAGATTATAGCATGAAATTATTTCTCTATTGTCATTGCTTTCCTAATTGAATCTTCATTTCAGATTACATACCACTTCTTCCACTGGAAGAAGGGAACTCCATTCGCTGATGATCAGGGGATGTATAATAGGTTGACTTGGTGGGAGCAAATGGACAACGGCAAGCAGCTTACTCGCAACAGAAAATTTCTTGTTGTGGTTCCTGTAGTCCTCTAAGTGTTATTCCGTTTCAATTTTATTAATACTCTAAGGTGCGCCTTGGAGAAACACAAAGTCCCAGCAAAGTACATTACCCTCATCAAGGACATGTACGATAATGTTGTGACAAGTGTTCGAGCAAGTGATGTCGACACTGATGACTTTCCGATTAAGATAGGACTGCATCAGGGGTCAGCTTTGAGCCCTTATCTTTTTGCATTGGTGATGGATGAGGTCACACGGGATATACAAGGAGATATCCCATGGTGTATGCTCTTTGCGGATGATGTGGTGCTAGTTGACGATAGTCAGGCGGGGGTAAATAGGAAGTTAGAGTTATGGAGACAAACCTTGGAATCGAAAGGTTTTAGGCTTAGTAGAACTAAAACCGAGTACATGATGTGCGGTTTCAGTACTACTAGGTGTGAGGAGGAGGTTAGCCTTGATGGCCAGGTGGTACCTTAGAAGGACACCTTTCGGTATTTGGGGTCAATGTTGTAGGAGGATGGGGGTATTGATGAAGATGTGAACCATCGAGTCAAAGCCGAATGGATGAAGTGGCGCCAAGCTTTTGGCATTCTCTATGACAAGAGAGTGCAGCAAAAGCTAAAAGGCAATTTCTACAGGACGGCGGTTCGACCCGCAATGTTGTATGGCGCTGAGTGTTGGCCGACTAAAAGGCGACATGTTCAACAGTTAGGTGTGGCGGAGATGCGTATGTTGAGATGGATGTGTGGCCACACGAGGAAGGATCGAGTCCGGAATGATGATATACGAGATAGAGTTGGGGTAGCACCAATTGAAGAGAAGCTTGTCCAACATCGTCTGAGATGGTTTGGGCATATTCAGCGCAGGCCTCCAGAAGCTCCGGTGCATAGTGGACGGCTAAAGCGTGCGAGAATGTCAAGAGAGGGCGGGGTAGACCGAATTTGACATGGGAGGAGTCCGTTAAGAGAGACCTGAAGGATTGGAGTATCACCAAAGAGCTAGGTATGGACAGGGGTGCGTGGAAGATTGCTATCCATGTGCCAGAGCCATGAGTTGGTTGCGAGATCTTATGGGTTTCACCTCTAGCCTACCCCAACTTGTTTGGGACTAAAGGATTTGTTGTTGTTGTTGTTTTTGGGAGCTTATTTGGCAAGGAACAGCATGGCAGGATGTATGCACAAAGATTAATTTTGGCTAGTCAGAAATACTACACTTATTCATTAATTCTGCAAAGAACACTTGTTAGTAACATCTAGGTCATACTGTAGTAGCTCGGTCTAGATCATTAATAAGTGGCTCGAGCCCTACACCATCACCAAAATCCCAGGAGATCTGGACCACCCCTACACCATTAATAAGTGCAACTGTGAGTCACCCCCTGCCCCCCAATCCCTGCCCTACTCTTCGGTAACTGACGGTGTCGGTCGGGGGATTAGATTCTGTCGATTCCTAATTGGTTTTGCTTGCTAGATGAATTGGCTTGGTTAGATTTCTACAAAATCTCTATATGGGGATCCGTTCATGGCTAGTAGAGGTCGAGCATATACTAACAAAAGACATAGTACATGTTTTATTGGATGTCTGTTTTAAAGCATGGGGGACGTTTTATTTTACTTTCTATAAGTTATGATTCATGTCTAACTGATGTATCACCCGGATTGTATACTTTGGGTTTTGGTTGGAGTGCATGATGTATGTATATCTGCAGCTGGGAAGAGAGAGGGGGAAAAGTGACTTTGACAAGGAGTTCAGCTACATTTATGTTAGTTATAGGTAGCGAGTATGTAACTAACATTACTATGAAGCGATTCATCTCTTTTTTGTCTGTTATTACAGGTTTGATCATGATTGTAAAAAGATAGAAGCAACGCCGACCACTTGTGGTGGTCCGAAGGCCTCCGGGCGCCACAGCACCACGCCGTCCTGACGCCGACCCGGTCGCAAACGGCGGCCATCTCTGGTATGTAATATATGCCTTCAACCTATAACGGAATTGGATCTTGTTATCAGTATGTGCGGAATGATGTGGGTCAGGTCAATACTTAGCATTGGTTGACTGTGAGAAACTCAGAAATTAGACATGCGAACTACAGCGTATCTCGGTAAGTTCTAAAGAGAAGAGAAACATCACCTGTCCATCTGTGTGCAGATGTTTTTTTCTGCTCCAGAATTCCTAAGATTTTTCTTGTCTTCCAAACTAGAGCTGGTCCAACATAGAACTATATTGCTTTAGAGTTCAATTCAGAAGGAGATTGATCATACCGAAATCAGACACACCAGGAGTCTGTCTCACATGTTGCTACATTGTTTTGATCGCCGGGAACCAGGCTCTCAAAACCAAGTCAAACTCCAACAGCGAGTCATTGGTCGAGATAGGGGCGGCCGATGCAAGCGAAGCGGCGAGTCATCAGATACCGGGTTTATAAGAAGGTATGCAGAGATCAAGTCTGGGTCCAGTTATTATCAGGATACAACATAGAAACCTACACTACTAGTAGTAGTCTGAATCTAAGAACTCACCCTGTTTGTCTGATCTTTGCAGCTGCTAGATTTGAGTGGTATCCTCACTATATTCTTCTGTGGTATTGTGATGTCACATTACACCTGGCATAACGTGACGGAGAGAGTTACAACAAAGTAACCTTAGTTCTTAGTCTGTGTTATTTCAATATAAGCAATCTTCTACTCAGTCAAAAACTGTTGTAGGTGCTACTACGAGTAGTGCTTGTAATTTTGTTTTGCTGTACCAATCATCAATTAATTCCCTGGTTACTACTATGTAGGGGATGTTACTATTCAGTCAAAAACTTACATTGCAAGATATACTGCAGTGCATGTCCTTGTGGTACTATGGGGTTTATTAGCTGTTTGGAGATGTAGTCATATTGTGCCATGTATTTTATTAGCTATATGATTACACATGTCAGTTTTATTATCAAAATCTGAACTGTAATAGTCATAATATTGGGCTGTTGGGAGCCTCACCTTTGTGTGCACAATACATTTAGCAGACATATCCACACTGAGTGCTTATGAAATAGCTATGTGTCCTGCACAATAAGTGCTTGTTCATTTGGTTTTCCCTAAACTTTGTTTGTATGCTTGAGAGCAAATTTAGTTGATCCTTTGATGGAGCACTAAGACTGTGCGTGGATCATTTTTTAAGATCTAAAACTGCTTGTCCTTCCTGTGATGATGTAGTTTAGTAGATCTCAATTGAATCATGACATCTGGTGCAATCCTTGGTGAAAAATTGTATGGGTAAATGATCACTAAACTAAGGAGGCTTAACCTGATAATAACTGGTGCATGTATATGTTTGGGTGCTTGTCAATTAGAGAATGTCTGTGATACCATGTTTGTATTATGTGCCAGTGTAGCTATACTGATGCTTTGGTTTTCATCCGTGTAGTAGAGGACAAGGGCGTCATGGCCAACCAAGGCGCATGGTGCTCGCAAGCGGCGGACGGAGGCTGTTTGACATCGTCATGGAGGAGGACGGGCATGGACGGAGGAGGACAGAGCACCTCTCTTCTTCCAGGTTCTTCTCCTTATCTTCACTTAATGTATATGCCTGTGCTGCAGCTCACCCATGGTCTTGTTTGTCCTGCAGGTTAGTGAGCAGCTTCAGGAGGAGTTCAAGCATGACCACCAAGAGGCACCACCGCAGCAACAGGTAGCACGTCCATCTCCACCTCCATCTCCCTCTGCTTCCAATCCTTTTTATTAGATTAAGTTGAGTACATTCTGAACCCCTTGATGTGACACAAGTATATGCACATGCTATGGTTTAAGTGTTGCTTGTGTATGGTAAATAGGTTGAGCACCCACCGTTGTTTGATACTATTTTGTTTAGGATTCTATTCCTCTATGCGTGTAATCTCCAGACCATGATCAAGCATACACACATGGTTGATTTGCATGGAACGATTACTACTAACTAAAGAAGGAAGCAGACTTCTTCACATAAAGGAAGATATGTCTGCTTTAGTAATATAAACAAATAAAACAAGATAGTTTGCATACAATCAGATCATTCTCACTTATTAGTTGAGTTCTAAGTACGTAGAATCTTTAGTTCTCTGGTTATATTATAGTCGGAATTATACTCTGTGACTGAGTTCTGTTGGGACTGTGCATGATTTTATCCATAGCTGGTACTATGGATAGAGCTTTGTGTGTGATCTGGAGTTGTTCCCATTATTGTTCTATCCATTTATTGGTGTTACATGTGTAGCCAGTTACCAGGACCTGCACTTGTGCCATGCATATTCATATAGTCTCTATTGTCTTGTATGAATATCTCATTTTAACTAGCTCGGCTAAAAAAAGCTTGGTACTAGCTAAAATCTATTTATCATTATATAAAGAATTGTCCTTCACTCCTTTACTACTTTTTTGAATGGAATGTTCACATTATATTGGCTCCAGTTTTTCTAATCTTCTCAGCCGATTCATGTAACAGGGCGACTGTGGAAGGCATGTTGTATTTCTGTCAGCCCAGTCCTGACTATGTCTATCCATGAGTCCGACATTTGATCGTTGTTGAAGGAGCTCCATGCTGAAGAAGAATACACTTGTAGAGCTTGTAACATTACTTGGAGAGCTTGTAAAGTACTGTAGAGCTTTGCATTTGTAGAGCTTGTAAAGCATTGTATACGTTAGAGCTTGTATAACGTGTCATTTGTAGAGCTTGTAGTGAATCTGGCTATTGTTATTTGAATAATTATGTGTGTTTTCTACTTGCCTATTTAAATACTGGTTATTTTCTTACTATGAAATCGAAATATGATGTCAAATTGAAATATGAAGAATCTGAGCCTAATAGCTGGGACCCATTTATCAGAACCTGACAAGTGGGACTTGTTTGACTAATGGACCCATTTTATAAAAAAAGAAAACTAAAACTGCTGGTACAAAAAGGCCATGGCCCAGAAAATAAAAAGGCCAAATTATAGGGCTTGGCCCGTGTAGTTCACCAAAATTAGCAGCAAAAAATATAAATGGGCTGAATTGTTGGGCTAGGCCCA